TACAAGGATGGAGAATGGAGTCTGGCCAGAATGAACAAAGAGCGAGGGGTCTGCAAAAGATGGAAAGAACTGCAGGTCTGCAAGAGTAGCACGCAACGTGTCGTGCACCTCGCGGGGAGCCTGACGCAAGCCATAGACTGGGCACCGCAGAAGCCACTGTGTTCCAAGAGGGAAGGTACAAGTGAAACCCTGAGGGCGGCGCAGGTAGACCTGTTCGTGTAGAATGCCCTGAAGAAACGCAGTGGAGAAGTCGAGGGAGTGTAACTCGTAGTCACGCTGTGTTGCTACGGGTAACAGTGCCCGAAGAGTAGTCATCTTCGGCGTCGGGGCGAACGTCTGAAAGAAGTCCACCCCCTCACGCTGACTAAAGCCTCTAGCCACGTAGCGCGCCTTGAACACAGGCGGCTCTCCATGAGGGTGTTTCACCTTGAAGAGCCAGCTGCCATCGACTACGTTCACACCAGGTGGAGGAACTGCGTTGACGTAGGTGCTGATGGATCTCCAAGATGCCATCTCCTGCTCCATGACAGCTATCCACTGAGAGGCCCAAGGTCCCGAGGTCGCCTCAGCATAAGTGCGAGGGGTCGGGATGTCGAAAGTGTCTGGGTCACCCTTAAGGACTAACAGCATGGAACAGAGATGGGGAGCAGCCTCGGACAGGAAAGCAAGCTCATACAGGCGGTCCTCCAGGACGTCACTGCCGAGGGCAGGAGCACCCCCGACAGACGGAGGACAGGCAGGGTCAGAGACCAGAGCGGTTGCGTAGTCAAGGCGGCGGTTAGAGGCAAAGTCAGCGACCGCAGCAACAAGAGCGTCGAGACACGAGACCGGAACAGACGGGTCGGTAACGAGGGAGGCAAGGACCCGAGGAATAAGAGGACGAGCGGCGCGAAGGTAGTCAGACGGGGGGAGGCGCAACAACAAGAGAGGACGGAGGCGGCGACGGTAGGAGTGTAGGACGAAAAGCGTGGGAACGAAGCAATATAAGGTGAGAGCGCGAGACAGGGAAGACGAGGCGAGCACGGGAGGGACGGCAAGACCAGACGTGAGACAGAGGCGTTGGGTCAAGAGACAGAGGAGGGACAAAGGAGGGGAACGAGGAGGAAGACGAGCCGGAGACGAGTGCGGGGGAGGGAACACAGGGCCGTAGACAGGAAAGGGAGGAGACGGCAGGGGAGGCACAGACACGTGGCCAGGGGACGAGAGGCTGAGCAGGCGAAGGGCTGACACCGGCGGTGACTGCTGCTGCGGCGGCACGACACCGACACCGGGACGGCAAGCTGCTCCACGGCTTCCTCCGGAACTCTCCACTCCAGCACCCGCACAAGGAACACCCCTAGGGCCCGAAACCCCGCGAACATGGGTACCACCCCCAGGCCCGCCGGGACAAGCGAGGAAAGGAACCGCAGGACTAGAACCCACCCCAACGCCAGCACCCCCAGAGTCAACGAGCTGCTGCTGCGTCAGTTGCGGCGATGGCTGCGGCGGCGGCGGCGGTAGTGACGGCGGCTGCGACAGCGGCGGAGACGGTGACTGCAAAGGCAACAGAGGAGGCGATGCCTGGGAACGGGCAGGCGGCGAGGACTGCGCTGCAGGGTGGCCAGAGTCAGCAGACTCCTCGACCGGGACAACCGACGGGAAGGGAGTGTTGTGAGACACACCAGACGGTGCAGGACGGGAGGGGGAGGGGGGGGGACAGGGGCGACCGGGGAAGGGGTGACCAGGAACAAGGGGGGAATAACCGGGGGACCTTGGTGGGGGAAGCGACGGTAGAAGGAGACGGACTCGTCAAAGGTGACGTCACGGGAGTGAAAGAACCGGTGAGACGGCGGGTGGTAGAAGTACCAGTCGGACGCGTCAAGGGGGAAACCGAGGAAGACACAAGGGAGGGTGCGGGCGGTGAGCTTGTCCGTGCCTGAGGCACGAACGTGAGCAAGGCAGCCCAAGACGTGAAACCCAGAGGCGTCACCAGGAGAACCGGACCAAAGAAGGGTCGGCGATTCCTGCAGCTGCTGGGGGTGCGGCCACAGGTTAAGCTGGTGAGCGGCGTAGCGAACAGCGAACGGCCACAGAAAATGGGGTGCACCGGCATGGATCATGGAGGTACGGGCCACCTCAATGACCAAGTCGATGCGTTGCTCAGCGACCCCATTCTGCTGCGGGGAGTCCAGCAGGGTGAACGTCTTGGTGATGCCCTCCGTACGACAGAAACGACCAAGGACACTAGAGGCAAACTCGCCACCACGGTCGGAGTGGAGACGCAAGACAGGGAGACTGCGGTGGACACGCGCAAAGACAAGCCACAAGATGAGAACGTCAGGCACGTCGGCCTTCCGCTCCAGGGGGAACACGGTGGTGTAGCGCGTGTGGTCGTCGACAAGCACTAGGAAGTAGCGCTCTCGACGCGGCCCATGGAGGAGGGCGGGGCCCCAGACGTCCATTAGCATGGTTTGTAGCGCTGCGGTGGTAGGGGGGAACGAGGAGGAGTGACGGGCACGGCGGAGCCGGCCCTCGACGCACTAGGCATGCCTACACTAGGCAACAAGGGGTAGTAAGAAGCAATCACACTAGATTCATCAGCATACATCACATGCAGGGCAACAACAATATCATCCATGTCCATATCAAAGATCTGAACGCTACGGCGAAACAAGATATGCCAGTCGGGGAAGTCGGGCGACGTGCCGAAGCGCTGACGAAACAGGTCGTCCAGGCGACGGAAACAACGGACGGAGATGTAACCCATCTTACCGCAAACAGAACCACGACGAGGACCGGTCTGGAGCTGGTACTGACAGCGCGCGTCACCCGATCCGCCACCCGGCAGCCCACCACGCGCACGACCACCACATCCACCGCCACCACTATCGCCTGGCCACCCGGGCGGGAGGCCACTCGCTCGCCTCTGCTGAGGCTGGTGCGAGGGCTGCTGCTGCGGCTGGTGCGTGTCCGGCTGCGACACCTGCGGCTGCTCGGCTGCACCTGTCAGGGTCCCCTCGTCAGCGCTACCACTAGGCGACCCGACTCCACCACCACCTACACCTGCACCTTCACCCCCACCGCCGCGCCCAGCCTTGGGGCGGCGGCCCTTCCCTGAATAGATCTGCACTGCAGCTGCGGACTCAGCCACAGCGACAAAACCATCGGAGAAGGTGCACTGAGCAGGGGGACAACCCTGAAAGATAGGGACTGGTACAGTACCGCTGGTCTGGACGATAGAGCGCTGACGGGTCTCTATGGCAGTCAGGGTGTCGACAAAGTCAGTGAGAGTGAGGTCACTAGGGTGGGTGCTAAGGAAGTGGTCGCGGGCAGTAGCAAGACGATCAGGGAGGCGGGTGGCAAGCAGGTAGAGGGCAGAGCAGAGAGGCGGCTGAAAGGCTCTAAGCTGGGTCTCAGTGCAGGCAGCATGCCAGGTCATGTCTATCGTGCGCAGGTGAGCGGCTAGGTCAGCGACAGTAGGGAAGGACGCAAGGTCAGGGAAGAGCATCGGCAGGATCAGGCGACCTACAAAGGCAGCAGGCGGGTTGAAATAGCGCTTGACAACGGCCTCTAGAAAATCCTGCGTAGTCGTGACTGACCTAAAGCGTGGGCGCTCAGACAGGGGGAGGGCATGACTGATCGCAAGCTGCGCGACAGCGTCACGCGACAGTCAAACTGAGCGGGCAAGGGCAGCAGCTGCAGCGGACTCACGGTCAACGGACGAGGGGTCAGCGGGCAGGGGAGCCGGGGGGTCAGGGCAGGGGAGCGTACCGTCAAGGTGGACCGCCAGGGAGTGGCCGTCCTGCCGCTGATCAGTGAGGTGACGCCGGAGGTCGACCAGCCACGTGTCAAACTCGATCGGGTGTCCCTCTGCATCGAAGCGGAGCACGGAGTCAGCCATCAGGAGCGATGCAGCAGCGACGCAGTGCTGTACGGTGCAGTGCGGTGCTGTACGGTGCAGTACGGTGCTGTGCAGTGCTGTGCGGTGCAGAGTGGTACAGCGCGGTATAGTGCGGTGCTGTGCGGTGTAGAGCGGTGCCTGGCGGTGCTGGTCGGGAAGGACGAGCCGGGCACGAGTCTGAGGTGGGCGGCGGCGAAACGAACGCAGGGCCGGCGCGGAGCGGGCGTGAAGAGGCCGGCTAGGAGAGGGCGCGAGGCCAACAAGGGGCGGGCGCAAGGGTCCGGTACGGGGCGAGCTCGACGGGGGCGCGAATGGCCGGCTAGGGACGGGCGCGGCGGCGCTGGGAGCCGGCTAGGACGGCCACGGGGGCTCAAGGGGGGGGGTCGGCTAGGACGGGCGCGACGGCTCAGGGGGCCAGCTAGGACGGGCGCGAACGGCTCAGGGGGCCGGCTAGGACGGGCTCGAACGGCTTAGGGGGCCGGCTAGGACGGGCGCGAACGGCTCAGGGGGCTGGGTAGGACGGGCGCGACGGCTCAGGGGGCCGGCTAGGACGGGCGCGAATGGCGTAGGGGGCTGGCTAGGAACAGGCGCGACGGCTCAGGGGGGCGGCTAGGACGAGCGCGAACGGCTCAGGGGGCCGGCTAGGACGAGCGCGAACGGCTCAGGGGGCCGGCTATGACGGGCGCGAATGGCTCAAGGGGCCGGCTAGGACGGGCGCGAACGGCTCAGGTGGCCGGCTAGGATGGGCGCGACGGGCTAGGGGCGGCGCGACGAGGGCCTAGGGCGGAAGCGTGGGCGGCGGGACCTACCTGCCAAGCGTGATACCATCGTAACGTAGGATTAAATGTCGAGAGAAAAGCGTACAAGGGTATAAGCCTATTGTTGTACCCTCTAAGATACGAACCTATACAGTCTACAAACATAACCTATGTATATGTTTGACATCCTCTACTTAAGTCTCGTGCACTTGTTTCTGCTAAGCAGAAAAACCATTTCCCAATGTGCGTAGAGTGCATGTGCGACGTACTAGCGGTACTAGGGTCCGCCCTGATTAATTTGCAGTCCAGCGGCTGTACTTTGAGGGTGATAACAATTGTTGACGAATCTTGCTGGAACGTAACGCTTTCCTCGTTATTTATTTCCTCGTTAAACATAAAATCCAAAACCACGCCTTAGAGACGGTGAAGGACGGTAAAAAACAGGGCTGATCATCCGAGCACCTCAGGCAGAAATGTTGCTGTTAAATATGTTTAGAGCCGAAAGCAGGGACGGTAGTCTGCACAATGTACTATAGTTTCACAAAATTTAACAAAACGGGGCATCCACCATTTACTTTCTCTTGACGGGGTCAAAGCTTGACACGCCAGCAACAACTGCGCCAATGCCTCCCAGGACAACACCGCCAGCAATCACGCTGTTGATCAGGTTCTGCAGGGAGGGGGACACGCCGGGCTGGGCAGCCTCAGCAATCTCGGGGAGGATGGCAGCAGCGATCAGAGCAGCGGTGGCGGGGAGGGCGATGTTCTGCTTCTTCTCCGCGCTGCAAAAGAACGAAGGCACACCAAAATAAAGAAGGCATAGTAAGACTCAAGGTAGGACTTGAAGCACGCCATAGTAACGACACGCCGAATGCGCGAGGAGGGTGGAGATCTTCGCTAAAATAAGTACCGGGAAGCTGGACTTCCAAAACGCTGGAATTGCGACGTCGCGCCAACGAACCTACCTCATCACAACGCGGCTCTTGTTGCTGACGAGCATGGGGGCAGCAACCACCTTGCTGGACACAGTGCTCTTGTTAGCCAAGAGGCTGGTGGGAGCCACCACGGAGGCAGAGCAGACAGCGAAGGCAGCCATGGCTGATAGTAGGCTTTGGCTGGATGAGCTGACTGCTGAGAGGAATCTGGTGTGGAAGCTGGAGTATGCGGTGACCAGACAACAGATTGTCTTGAGAGGTGAAAGCAGGCAATCAAATTGGGGTTCACATCCGAGCCAGGGGGAGGAGGGGTGAGTGGTGGAGATCAGACGGGCTTGCTGGGAGGCCAGCGATTCCTAGGAGGTCAGCGATTTCCAGATTCCCGAAGAGGATAAGGCACGCTTGGCATGATCTCATTCGTCTGTTGATTGGCTCGGCGTAACCTTTGCGATGGGCCTGGGTGTTGTCGGAACCTGAAGTGGCGAATGGTGGTGACGAAATCTGGGGTTTATGGTGATGCGCGCACGAAAGCACCTGCTGTAACTGGCCATCTGGATAGATGTTACCGCTAATCCACCATGTTAGATGTTGCAGCTTATTCACCATATTATTTAATATGTTCTTAATCTAAACATATGATGGAGCATAAAATGCTCTACTCATGTTCATGCAAACACGTACACGAAATGTGAGACCTGAAACGATTCCATATGCTATTAATACGAAATCCTATCAAAATTACACACTATCACAAGCGTCCTTCAATCCTGCTTGCAAGTCCTCTGCTACCTTCACTGTCGCAAGCTTGAAAGTTACAGGCCTTGGGGCCTTGTCAATAGTGCCAGCAGGAGCAGTATCATCTTGCTGAAACGAAGCCAAGTAAATGAAAGCACAGTGACAATGCATACAAAGAACATGAGTGCATATGGGATAAAGATCCGCGTGCGGAAATGAGGTGGTGCTTGGCTGGACATATGAGTAGCATCAATTCACATTTCAACCAACCGACAAGATGATGATGGAAAATGACAGGCTGGAGCAACAAATGCTGGTCTGGGTCATGGATGCACGTACATAAATCACACGTCATGGCATATTCAACAATTTTGTAGATCTTGATCATATGGATGGTTTGTGTGAGATGGTGGGACATACACATGATTGAAGCACCGCAGTGATGTTGTTCTTCTTTAACATTATAGTCATCCCCTTGTAAAGTGGCGCATTCAGCATCACCTTGCCCACCTGTGCCGTTGGGGGATGGTGAGTGGGAGGGGAAAAGGAGGGGGACAATACAGAACAGAGGGAAAAGGGTGAGGATGACTGGATGACGGACGTTATGTTGTATTTCTAAAACATGATTGCACTTCCTTTTTCCAGTGACGCATTCTGCAACAACCTTCCCCGCACTCACATCATTCCGGAACAGCACTGAAGCCCGCAGAGTGGCTCCCTTGTGCAGCTTCACAGTGATCACACAACTGGTAAACCCACACACCAGCACACATACTCCCTGCACTCACATCATTTCGGAATAGTACTGAAGCCCGCAGAGTAGCTCCCTTGTGCAGCTTAACGATCACACTGCCGCTGCCCTTGTCCTTCCACACCGGACCCTCCTCGCCCTTGGCTTTCTGCGTACCAATGATGACAAGGGGGGCAGGGTGAAAATGGGGCCGTGAGAGGGGAGAGTAGAGGGGCACGGGAGAGTGAGAGAGGCTCCCTTGTGCAGCATCACGATCACTGAGCCGCTGCCCTTGTCCTTCTACACTGGGATCTCCGTGCCCGTGGCCTCTGTGCACACTCGGAAAAACAAATTGAAGCGAGGGGGGCTGGGGGGTATGAGTGGGGGAGAGACTGCAGATAACTTTTGGTGGGAGCGTGGGAACGGAACTCGGCGAGAAGGGGAAAGAAGGGGAAGAGGGGAGTCGACTATAAAGTCACCTCGTTACTGAGTCGACTCAAAATTCACCTCGTTACTGAGTCGACTCAAAAGTCACCTCGTTACTGAGTCGACTCAAAAGTCACCTCGTTACTGAGTCGACTCAAAAGTCATCGCGTTACTGAGTCGACTCAAAAGTCACCAAGAAGGGGACGAAGGGAACACCTGCCGCAACTACAGTAGCTGATCTCGGCCCATAGGAGAATTGTAACGGTGAGAAAGGGACAAAGGATCTGATCTCACCTGCCTGCACGTATATCTTCGCCTGTGCTGATCATGCACGATACCCACCCCCCACACTCACCTGCTCTCCCTCCTCTGCTCTCTCCAACACTCGCTTCGTAGACCACATCTAGAATGCGAATGGTTTTTCACCCTACCTGAACGTATCTCTTGGCGCGTGCCTCATGCACAATATCCACCCCTCCTCTGCTCTCTCCTCCCCCCTCTCTCTCCTCTGTCCTCTCTCCTCTGCCCTCTCCCATGCTCTATTCTTAGACCACACCCATAACGGTGTTCTTCTGCACCCTACCTGAACGTATATCTTGGCGCGTGCCTCATGCACGATATCCACTCCACTCTCCTCCGCTCGCTTCACTGACGGACTTGCCGGTCCCTCCTCTTCCTCCTCCTCCTCCTCTGAAAAAACGGGGGGGGGTTGGAGAGGGGAGAAGTTAAGGGGGGAAAAGGAGTTGGGCATGAGATGGGACAAAAGGGAAGGACCCATTCTCCTCTGCCCTCTTCACTGATGGACTTGCTAAGCCCTCCTCTTCTTCCTCCTCCCTGAGAAAGGGAAGGAACCGGGGTGCGATGGGGAATGGCTTCAAGATACTGAAGTTTGATTAGAAGGAGCCTACGAGAATGCTGGCAGAAATATTACAAGGCGCCTGGGAAAATGGTGGCGAAGGAAGCGGGGTCCTCAGTACAGCACCCAGTTTGCTTTCACCGAATCACCAAAGCAATCTCAGTCCTCAAGAGTACTGAGGACTGAAACACAGTAGCAGCGTGCTCACCGTTCTCTGATCATTTAGGCGCCTCAAAACTCGACTCATCAAAAGAGTACTGAGTACTGAGCTGTAGCAGTAGCGTGCTCACCTTTTGCTGCGCCACTAACAGCAATTGGCGCCAGCGGTGCTGGACTGAAACCAAAGGCGGGTGAGGAGGCTGGTGCAGCAGTGAAGGCAAAGGGACCGGCTGATGTCGAGAAAGGAACAGCTGAGAACGACACAGGAGCAGGGGAGGCCGCAGCAGCAGGAGAAGAAGATGTCAGGCCACCAGGCGAAGAGGAAGCAGCAGCATTGCCAGAACCACCAACGGCAGCAGCAGAGCCGGCAGCAGAGCCGGCAGCAGAGCCGGCAGCAGAGCCGGCAGCAGAGCCAGCAGCAGCGGCAGCAGGAGAGGACGTGAGTCCAAAGCTAACAGTGCCGGTGGTGGGAGGGGAGGATGAGGCCAGCCCAAAGCTGACAGTGCCACCAGCAGCACCAGTGCCGGAAGTCAGCAAGAACCCAGCCCCAGCAGCACCAGTGCCAGAAGTCAGCGAGAACCCAGTCCCAGCAGCAGCAGCAGCAGCAGCAGGAGGAGGAGGGGCAGAAGCCAGGGGAGGTTTCAGGCCAGAAGAGGAGAAGAGAGACACGGGAGCAGTGGGGGAGGTGGAGGAGAAAGGGGAAGTCGGAGCAGCAGCAGCAGTGGCTGGAGCAGCGGCGGGGGGAGAGGAGGAGGATGGGGAGAAGAGGTTACTGGGAGGCGGGAAGGAGTGTGGGGCACCGGGTCTTGGAGACCACATGTTGACTCCTACAGGGCCGAACATGGGGATGGAGGGAGCAGCAGCAGCGGTGGTGGCAGACGTGGTAGCTCCTGCTGCTGATGCTGTGAAGGTGGGGGTGGTTGTTGTGAATGTAGGGGCACCGAATGCGGCTGAAGGGACAGTTGATGTGGTGGAGAGCGGTGGAGATGCGACGTGGGATTTGATCCAGTCGACCACGTCCTTATAGGTGGTCTGTGGGAGGGAGCGGGTGCGAGGAGCCACGTGTGTGGGCGGGGGTGCGGTTGTAAATGGGTGAGAGAAGAGGAAAGCGAGGAGGTGCATGCGGGCAGGGGGGGGGATTGCTAGAGTTGAAGGGATGCCTGATTTGCTAGCACACAATATCATGTTTTACAATGACGTTCCATGTAAGACCATACCATGGGTAGCCCATTCACGCCGTTCTTTGCATTACCATGAGGGTGGCTGCATGGCCGATGCAGTCATGCACCTCATCTGTCAGCTCCACAGCTCGTTACAACAAGTGGGGTGCATGCACCCCATCACTCCACAGCTCGTCAGCATGCTTTCAGGCACAACAAGACACACGACCCTTTTGTCACATTGCATGCACTACCACGGCATTGCATACATTACCACGAGGGTGGTCGCATGGCCGATGTGGTCGCGCACCCCATAAATTCACACCTCAACAAACATGGAGTTCCGCGCATTACCATGACGTTTCATGTGCTACCACGGCATTGCCCGCATTACCATGACGTTTCATGTGCTACCACGGCATTGCCCGCATTACCATGACGTTTCATGTACTACCACGGCATTGCCCGCATTACCATGACGTTTCATGTGCTACCACGGCATTGCCCGCATTACCATGACGTTTCATGTGCTACCACGGCATTGCCCGCATTACCATGACGTTTCATGTGCTACCACGGCATTGCCCGCATTACCATGACGTTTCATGTGCTACCACGGCATTGCCCGCATTACCATGAGGGTGGTCGCATGGTCGATGTAGTCGTGCACCCCATCGCTCCAAAGCTCGTCCGCATGCTCCTTCTGCTGCTGCTGCACCCAGCTGCATGCGCATGTGTATATGCAAGTGCATGTATGCAAAGAAAGGTCAGTAGCGACGCTGCTAAATGTCAAATTGACAAGCGAGCGTTACCTGGCGAATTAACAAGGGAGTGTTACCAACATGGCGAGCTGCAAGTAGAGAGCACGGACAGTACCCAGGCACTTCGGTGCTCGGGCCTGGTGAGGCTATACATATGTGTTACCTGGCGAATTGAAAAGCGAGTGTTACCAACCTGGCGAACTGCATGTTGAGAGCGCGGACATTAGTCAGGCACTTCAGTGCTCGGGCCTGGTCAGGAAACGAGGCTGCAGATTCTGGAGCTGCTGATGCTGATGCTGCAGCATTGGCTGCGGGAAAAGGAGAGGTGGAGGAGGATGGGAAGCCGTTGAATGCGGTTCCTGGTGTTGTGTCTGCTGCTGCACCTCTCTTCTGCTGCTGGTTCTGCAAAGAGCAAAAAGTGTCAAGAGGGGTACAGGAGGAAGGGAAGCAGGAGGAGGGAAGAGGAGGAGCACAACTCTCTGAAGAAGCACTTCACCAGATTTGAAGGATCCTTATAATGAGAGCTTCTGGTTCGAACCGAATGCGGGGTGATTTTTGAGTCGACTCAAAAATCACCTTCGGAAGTCAACGGCACACAGGGAAACCTAGTGTGAGGCAGAGAGCATCAGGCAGATAGCATTACATTAGCGTGTCGTCGGCTAAACGGAGCAGCTTCTTCTTCCTCCTCCTCCTCCACCCATCGCCGTTTCCCACCCGCCATGGACCCGCTTCCGCCCCCACAACCCCCTTGATACAACCCCACAATCTCAAAAACAGTTGAGATTCTTTCCAAGATCGATCCCTTGTACTTTCCGCCCGCTTTCCGGATTCTTTCAGACCCCCGAGCTTGAGCCACCTCCGAGCACTCGAGTCTTAGAACCCTATCGATGCAACTACGAGCGTCGCGAAATAGTTGCTGTCAGAAAACCCCCCTTCGACCCCTCAGATTCGCTCCCTGTTCCACGAGTTCCGACCGAAGCTGTCCGTCCGAAGCTGTCCGACCGAAGCTGTACGACTGAAGCTGTACGACCGAAGCCTCCGCTTCGGCAGCAGCTATAAAATGGCAACTCCAAAGGTATATCTGCTGCAGCAATGGGATTCTGACTGGACCGGAACCCTGTAGCGGAGGTGGTCTGGTCAAATGGGGAGCGAAGAACGTGACAGGAAGGCGGTAGTGGATGTGTTGCAAGGAACCTGGAATCTGGAATCTGGTCAAAAGCCCAACTGCAGCCCATACAACAGCTTTATACCGCTGCAGTATATTTGGAGCAAACTTCGCGAGAACAGTACACTTCTGTACTCCAAAATTTGTTGATAGTTGCTTCCGCTGAATCGAACCTCCGCATAGGGACTACCGAATGTAGCAAGTTTCCATGCGTGTATATGCCTTAACAACAGCGCTAGCCAATAACTGTCTTGTTAGTCTTGCCATGAAAATCCTGTAAGATCTTGTGAATCTTCTAGAAGTGTAATTGTCTTGTTCTTCCATAAAAAAAAGGGGAATAAAGAACCCAGCTTCACCACCTCCACGCCACCCTCATTTTTGCATCATTTACTATGCGCATTCATGCAGACTGAAGGACAGAATGCCTTGACACGCCCTCAATGCTACCATGCATGTCACTAGTCAATTTGCATGATGCTGTGAACAAAGTGGTAATCCAAATTTGGGTTGATGGGCTGAAGTTACCCCAATAGGCATGCATTTGTTAGGACACTGAACTGTGCACATTGCATTGCATGATACCACAGAGGCATGATTAGCCTGTTGTCCTCAGCAAGCCAACAACATGCACTATAGAGCTCTCTCCATCCCCCACCCATTAGACAGCTTCTCAACACAGCCAGACACAGACTCACTCTGAAGGAAATGTCAAATCATCACTTCACTATTCCCTCCAGGGAAACACAGACCTATGGCTTCCAGCAGTACCGTACAAGACCAGGGCTCCAGGGCTCCAGGCTCACGGCTCCAGGCTCACGGCTCCAGGCTCAGGGCTCCAGGCTCAGGGCTCCAGGCTCAGGGCTCCAGGCTCAGGGCTCCAGGCTCAGGGCTCCAGGGCTTCCACGAGGACGCTACAGCAGCGGGATCATACGGGCTTTCACAGAGAAGCTGGTGCCTGTAGTAGGTATCAGTATCAGAAGGGCGGGATGAATGGCAGTATACAGACATCAAACTCCGGGAGGTAGCGTGGGCTCGCCCACACCACTCTCTCTCTCTCCCCCTCCTCCCCCTCCTCTCCCTCCTCTCCCTCCTCTTCCTCTGCACGCTCCTCCATACCCATGTCTTCCACCCCCCTGTCTCCCACATCCATATCTTTCACCCCTCTGTCCCCCACCCCCGCGTCCTTCACCCCGCTGGCGTCCACGCACTGGTCTTTCATCAGCCAGTCAGCAAAGCTGGGTTCCGCGTCCATCGCTGCCAGGGCCTCAGCAAGCCCCTGCGTTGCGTCGTCGAATGCCAGAAACGTCTCGTCCACCACCAAAGGAGGCGGCTCCGCTTTCCGCTTATCACGGCCCTCCCTGTGCCTCTCCCTGCCCTCTCGTCCCTCGCGTCCCTCCCGCCCCTCCCTTCCCTCCTTCCCCTCCCGCCCCTCCCGCCCCTCCCGACCACCGGACCTGCCGTCCCTTTCTGGGCCACCGTCCTTCCCTCGCCCATCGGCCTGCTTATGATACCCATTCTCCCCAGGCACAGCAGCGGCTGTAGCAGAGGAGCCCTTTCCCCCGGCAGGGGCTACAGCGGAAGTGTCCTTCCCCCCGGCAGAGGCTACAGCAGCAGCCGCAGCAGCAGAAGCAGGCGCAGCAGCTGGACTTAGGGTTTTCAACCGAGAATCAAATTGAAGATCGTTTTTGGGATCGTTTCGAAGCTCGCCCGTGGGTCTCAGAGGGGAAAGCACTTCTGCTGCTGACGTGTCACTGATGCCGGGCCCGCCGCTCACACCCACCCCTCCGCTGGCTGTGCTCCTGCTGCGGTGCCGGTGCTTGCTGCTGCGGGATTTACCTGAAATAGCACCTGAAACGGCACCTGACAGCCCCCCGCTTCTGCTGCTCTCTGCAGGCGATGCCCCAACTGCCCCTGCTGCAGCTGCCACTGCTGCTGCCGTCGCCGCGGCTGCTGCTGCTGCTGCTGCTCCTCCTCCTCCTCCTCCCCCCACACTGGCCGAACGCCCCACTCCTTTCAAAGCAGCAGAAGCACTAGGCCCCGCACCTGGCTCCGAGACACAGGATGAGGCGAGCCGGGACTGCTGATGATGGTGATGGTGAAACCGCTCAGCGCCATCCCCATTGCCATGCCCCGATGCATGCCTTGCTGCATCCCCCGCCCCGTGCCCTGCCCCATGACTTCCATGGCTCCCTTGGCTCCCCTGGCTGCCCTGGCTGCTCTGGCTGCCATGGCTGCGCTTGTGCCCGTGCAGCAGATCGCCCACTCTGCCGTTCTGCCTCGGTGCCCCGTGCACCGGAGGCTTATCCGCTGGAGACACTCCAGCCCGCTTTTCCCCAACCGTGTGTGGCGTTACAGCAGTTACAACGGTTACGGCAGCGGTTGCATCTAGCGGGGAAGCAGCAGCAGTAGCCGGAGATGCAGCAGCAGGCGCACCCGGGCTGTGGCTCGTTTTAACATCCGATGCTCGCTGGTGCGCCCCTTTCGCTCCCGTTGCTCTCGTATCCACCCCAGATTGGAAGTCTCTCAGTTCCTCTGAGTGAGCCCTCCCAACTCCTGGCTCTGAAATTGCTCTGGTCGCTACAACAGGAGCCCCAACACCTGAGGAAGGCTGCATATCCCCCCCTCCTCCTCCCTGCTTCCCCTTCAACCCTTTATTCCCCTGAATCTCCCTCCCCTCGGCTCCTCCCTTCACCTCCCTCCCCCCATTGCTCAGCCTCAGGTCCTCTGACTTGGAATCGTGATGCCCCCGGCCGTCCGACGATCGCAGCCGTTGATCTTGAGCTGTGCGGAGATCAGGGGTTGAGATCGACCCGTGCAGGGGCTTGGGCGCCCCTGGCGCCGTGCTGAGGTCACGAGCGCCGTCTGCTGCGTTGGAGATGCGCTCGTCCAGGGCGTTGGAGGCCCGTGTGTCTGGCGGTCCAGGGGCGCGGGGAATGCCGTTTTCCCCGTTAGCCATGCCTTCGGACGTCGCCTTGCGGTCCTGCTTCTTGTCTGCAGTAGTATGGGCGGGGGCGGGGGCGGGGGCGGGGGCGGGGGCGGGGGAGGGGGGAGATCGGGGAGAGAGAGGGATGTCAGGGGGCGCAGTGGAGCAACCAGGACAACTGTGCCCCGTTCAGCATGCCTTCGGACGTCGCCTTGCGCTCCTGCTTCATGTCTGCAGTAGTATGGGCCGGGGCCTAGGGGAGAAGGGTGGGGGGAGGGGAGCTGGGGGGGAGGAGTTTGGGAAGGGCGGAGAGATACGGAGGGGGAGCGGTGTGAGGAGGCACAGTGGAGAAACAACGTTTCCCTGGTGTTTCCATCCGGCATGCCTTCCAATCCAATCCAATCCAATCCAACACGGCCTGCCCGCCTTGCGATCCTGCTTCTTATCTGCAACAATGTGGGGAGGGGGCGAGGGAGGAGAGACGAGCAAGGGAGGAGAGATGAGCTTGTTAATATGGGGAATGACTCGATACAATTGGGCAGACTTCGATGGCCAGCAGAGGGTAAAAAGCCAGCAACCAGACGGGCGCTAAAGTTGAGGCACCTCAAAAACAAACCGAGACAGGCAGCTAGCTCAGCTGGGAGAAATAGCATATGCAAGGAATCGGACGTGGACTCGACGAAGCAGACTGAGACGCAATGACCGACCTTTATGCTTGTCTCTGTGCTTCTCGTCTCGCCGCTTTTCCTCCTTGCGCTTCTCCTTCTCCCGTCGCCTCTCCTCCCTCCTCTTCTCATCCTTATGCCTATCCTCCTTCTTCTGGTCCCCTTTCCGTCTCTCCTCCTTATTCTCCTTGTCCCTCTCGTCGCCTCGTCTCTCATCCTTACCCTTCTCCTCCTTCTCCTCCTTCCCCTCCTTCCCTTCCTTCGGCTCCTTCCCCTCCGCACTCGTTTTCTCCTTTAGCTCCTCCTCTTTCCCCACCTCCTTCCGCACTCCCTCCTTCTGCTCCCCCCCCTTACCCTTGTCCTCCTCCAAACTCTCATTCCTCCCCTCCTCCTTTCCCCCACCCTTATCCGTATCCCTGCTCTTCTCCTTATCCGTATCCCTGCTCTTCTCCTTATCCGTATCCCTGCTCTTCTCCTTATCCGTATCCCCGTCTTTTTCCTTGAGCGTCGACTCATCGGACGACTGCTTCCGTTGCTCCTTATCCGCATCCCCATCCCCATCCCCATCCGGGCCATCCCTATTCCGCTGCTCCTTGGACCTTTTCTTCTCCTCTTTCCTCCTCTTCCGCTCCTCCTTATCCTCCTCGCCCCCCTCCCGGTGCCGCTTCTTCTTCTTCTTTTTCTTATCCTTGTCCCGATCCTTGTCCTTCCCCTCCGATCTCGCCTCCTGGTAAGCAAACAGAACAGGGAACGCGGAAGGCGCGCGGTTAAAGAATAACCTTATATCGGGGAAGACGAGATACAGGAAGGGTTCTTGGTACGCGATAAGGCGCATTCCGATCCATAGTCGGTCGACGACACCATGGCGGAAAATCGCTGTCAGCAGAGCGGGAACGGAAACCCTAAACGAAATGGAGGAAGCTAAACGGGCGACAAGGTTAAGGGCCAAGAGTAATCAAATTCCCGCATTATCGAACTCCTCTTAAACGGCAACCACCTCGCGAACGGCAACTTCGCCCTGAACACGTCACCGCACTGGACCGTTTTGCACAACCCGATTCCCCGGACCATTCCATGCCTGACAAAACACACGCTTCGATCCATTCGCTCTATAAACCTTATGAGCCTGATGATGATTACCTTAGGGACGTTGAGAGACGGATCCCGAGGTTTCTTCTCGAAGCCCGGCGGGGGATACGGCCAGCAGCGAGACATGGCGATCGGAATCCGCCAATCGACGCCTGCTGGAGTCTCGAAAGGTCACCGACGGGACCAACTCATCGAATGCAATAACCTTCAGCTGCGATAACGGTCTCGGCAGTGGTAACCCTCTGCTGCGAAAAGTTTCCGCTGCTAAGCGGCTCTTCCCTGATTGGCTTCAGATGAGATGCGCTTCGGCTTGCGCGTCTGGCGATGCTTGCGCGTCTCGCGACACCGACGCCGACGCCAACACGGCCTTAAAATGACCGCCTCGCGACGCGAATTACCGCTCCGCCGAACGGGTTTCCTCAGGATCGAATGGATAGCCAAGCAAAGCCGTGGAGCCCGCGCCGGATCTTAAGGATTCTGGCGCAATGCGCAACCGCGGGAGTGCGGGGATAACGATCTGAGAGCACGACGCGCAGGTGATTTTTGAGTCGACTCAAAGATGACGATCTGAGAGCACGACGCGCAGGTGATTTTTGAGTCGACTCAAAGATGACGATCTGAGAGCACGACGCGCAGGTGATTTTTGAGTCGACTCAAAGATGACGATCTGAGAGCACGACGCGCCCGTCTAAGGAGCGTGTCGCCTAAGCACCGAGACCCACGACCGCTCTCAAGGGGAACTCGCGCATGGATATCCAATCAACACTGAAGTTACAGATGGACGAAAACTGAATCAAGGCGGAATTAGAACTACCGCTGCGCCTTGCTGAAGAAGTAGAGACGAGATTCGCTAAAGGACTTTCGATTTGGTCCTGGGAATCGGGCTTGAGTGCTGGTTACGTTCTCCCAAACGGCCAAGTTAGGGCACGGAATCTCGCTTGACCTGAAGGATCAGCCTAGCCAAAGCAAATTAGGTCAACCCGTCAGATGGCTATTCCAGATCAGCTCAGCACACGATGATGAAACCCGCGCCGTTCTTTCGAGGCGTCTTCAACGTACTTTCACCGCGCCGCTGCCGCCGCCTGCGCAGGTCCTGTAGGAACACGGTGCGGCACCGGAGCGCGTAGTTATTCAGAGGCCGTCTCGTCCTTAGCAGGCAGCTGAGCTGAAGCTCTAAGCTGTCTCTTGCTGGGAGAGTCAAACCCTACAATAATATGGGTGCCTGATGGTATTTATACTCCCAGTGTTCACTCATGCCAGGCCCTCTGCACTGCACTGGACGCACGCTACACGCAACCCGCCGTACATCATCACACCACACATCACCAGAATGCACACCACCATTCCAAAACTCCGCCAACCATCCATCCAAACCAAACAGCAAGGTCTTTCCCTCCATCTACTGCTCCGCTGCATCCCAGAATCCAGTCGACAGAGACCATCCATCACGTCATGCGGTGAACACAGGCGCGCAGGGAACAATCTGGTTCGGACAGGCAGGCACCGAGCGCGGGGCGGAAGGAAGGACCACCATGGGGATGTGCGCAGGCATGCGCTCTCTCCACCAAGCTTCTCGAAACAGGAAGGCGCACGTACCTTGAAAATTTCAGGCAAACCCGCCAAGCTTCAGGGGGTACTTTGGGCTGCTGCTGCTGCGGAACCGCTCCGCCAAGCATCACCTGACCGCAATCGGGGGGGGAGACACCGGGGAGCAGGGGCGGAACAGGTGAGAGCTGGTTTCCGGAGGAGGTCAGTTCCGTGCCCGCGATGTCGTTTGGAGGCCGCTGGGTTGAGTTTGTTTCAAAATGGTTGGGATAGATTTGTGCTCGGTTTTGCCGGTTGAGGCTGGAACAGTTCAGCCTCGGGATTCTGGCGAATTCGCGGTCCGTTTCCGCCTACGAACGAGATGGGGGTTCAAATAAAACTTTGGGCCAGGCGGACCCTGGCGCAGGATGGCTGGTTGCGTTACGGGAGCGCGGCTCTTTCCGTTTCCGCCACACCAGTCGCCAGTTTTCGTCACTCTTAGCGTAACACTCCTGCCCTGCTGGAATTCCCGAATCCGGAGGGGCGCAACAAATCTGGAACGTCCGAACCACAAGGGCGGTACTGGAAAGGTGTGTGCTGGCAAGACTGCATCCCAGACACAAACTCGTTACTGTGTCGTACTTCGGTAAGCGCATTAATGTTCCATCATAGGAAGTTTATTGCGGTTTATCAGTGGAAACTCTTGTATCGATAGATTACAGCTGGAAACCTAGCTCTTACGGAAAGCGAGGCAGGCAGTTTCGAGTAGCTAGGTCTGACCAGCTCTTAGAGGAGAATCAAACTCTTCAGACACTCTTTCCCGCCAGGCCTCCTGGCACCGTCGTTTTGCGCCTCGGCCGTCTGCGCTGCGAGGCGTTGTGCTTAGCGGGTGCATATACGGAATCCCAGGGAAACTATCTGTTGCCTTGTCGAGCTTCTGTCTCTAGGCTCAAGCTAAGCCCATCTAGACCTAAATTTGATCGGTTCAGATCCGTTCGCGGAGGAGAGTCGGATGAACGGAGCCGCCGCATTGCCACCAGCTGCACAATCCGCGGGACTGCTGAGCTCCGTGAATCCCTCGCGTGCCGTGAATCCCTCGCTTACCGTGAATTCCTCGCGCGTCGTGAATTCCTCGCGTGACTGCCCGATCGCAGGATACCCGACCAGATTGAAACCAGAGGCGACCGCATTCGTGGGTGAATCCGCCGGAATTTGTCGTCTGGTAACTAGATCGTCCAAGAACGACACGGCATTTCTCTTGTCGTCGCGAGCCGTTTTGTCTGCAAGTTCGTTGTCCTGCTGCGAGAGAAAAGCACCGAGGCACGACGCACCCTGTCGCCTTATCTGCCACGTGTCATCCATGGCGGATTCCAGAGGTCCGCGTGTAGCGGATGCTGACGTGGATATGGTAGACGATGTTCAAGCTGATCAACCAAACCTGCAGGGCGATGCTGACATGTCTCTATCCGACGGTCACGATCCGGAGATCATAAAATCCGAGGAGGATAAGAAGGCGTACCGTATGGTAACGCTCCCAAATGGGTTAATTACCCTTTTGATTTACGACCCTGAGATTGCCGCGTCAGGGGATGATGAGGATGATGATGAGGAGGAGGAGGAGGATGAGGAGATCGAGAGTGAGGAAAGCGATGAGGAGATGAGTGTGGCTGAGGAGGCTGGGGATAGTGGTGGGTCAAAAAGCAGTAAAAAGGGCAAGGGGGGGAAGGGAACAGAGGGGGGGAAGGCCAAGGGGCGAAAAGGTGCTAGTAAAGGAGGTAAAGGAGGTGATGATAACGAGGGTGAGGATAGCGATTGGGAGACAGCGAGTGAGGAAGAAGAGGGGGAGGGGGAGGATGGGGGATTTGAAGGAAAGGAGGGAGAGAAGGCAAAGGTGGCAGATACCCGGGGGAAGGAAGGCAAGGAGGGGGCAGCAGGGGTTGAGAAGACGGGCGGAGAGGGGAAGGCGACAGGGAAGAGGAAGAAAGTGGGGGGGATTCGGCTGGGCGGTGGTGGCGCTGGGCGGAAGGGGAAGGTTGGGGAGAAGAGTGGGGCGAAGGGAGCGGTAGGAGGAGAGGGGGATGAGGAGGTTGAAGAGGGTAGTGAGGAGGAGATGGAGAGTGGAGAGGAGGAGGAGTATGATGATGAGGATGAGGAGGGGGATTCTGATGAGGAAGATGAGGAGGATGATGAGGATGATGATGACCAACCAGGAGCAGCAAAGAAGGTAATTCTTGCCGAATAAAGGACGGGCGACGGTTCTTCTCCTGTTTTCTCCCTTACCTCCCCGATTCCGCACCTCGCTCACCAGCCTCCCCGTCTTCTCCCCTACCTACCTCCCCTCCTCTCTGCCTCTGCCTCACGTTCTTTCTGCCTCTCCATCTCCCCTGCATTCTCCTTCCGATCTTCATTCATCCATCTTCCTCTCCCCCCATCCCCCTCTCCCATTCCCCCCCACCCCCCTAACCCCTTTACCTCCCCTCCCCCCCCTTCAGCTGGCAGCAGCTGCAATGTGTGTGGGGGTGGGAAGCTTCCTCGATCCACCCGATGCTCTCGGCCTTGCACATTTCCTCGGTCAGTAGGCATATGGGCATGTAAGGTTTTAGGGTTTTGGGCTTGGGTTGGGGGTAAAGACCAGCACAGTGCGCGGCATGGCAAGGCGTGACACTTGTATCCAGTGTTGGGATATATGAAACGTAGTGCACGGCAAGGCAGGCAAACACGCCCACCACCCGTTCCTTCCTCGTCGTTTTGCCATGCCCCTCTTTTCACTCCCTCCATCCCATGCCATGCCTCCTGACCCGCGGTGCTACTGCAACGGACTCGGACTCACCACATTGTGCATCCCTTTCTGTTCCGCGGTGTCTCCTTCCTTTCCCGCTGCTCCAGAGCACATGCTGTTCATGGGCAGCGTCAAGTTCCCTGATGAGAACGAGGTGAGGCCTTAAACCCTGAGAACAAACCCTAAATTCTAGAGCCGGTGTTTCATTACTCTCCTGCTGCTCCAGAGCACATGCTCTTCATGGGCAGCGTCAAGTTCCCTGACGAGAACGAGGTAAGGCGCCTAACCTTGACACCAAACCCTAAAATTCTAGAACCAGTTGATCCTGACTCCCCTGCAGCTCCAGAGCACATGCTCTTCATAGGCAGTGTTAACTGTTCCTGTCTACAACGAGGTGTCGCTTTAGACCCTGGCAGTAGACCCTAAAACCTGGCTGTAAGTGCTGAAATCTCGATAACGTGTCTGTTCCCTAAACCTAGTAGCACCCCTCTTACCCCATAAACCCTAAGACACACATCCACACACTGCTCTCTGTGCAGTACGACTCGTTCCTGAGGCGGCATGGGGGGGGCTCCAACGCGTTCACAGAGACGGAGTTCACGTGCTACCACTTCGACGTGGCGCACAAGTACCTGCACCCTGCGCTGGACAGGTAGGAAGGGGAAGTGGCTGTTTCAATGTGACTCAAGGGGAACCTGCGTCTGAGCTCGTGCGCCAGAAGCCATCATTTAGATGTGGGGCGGACAGCAACTGCCTCTCTCCTCTTGCAGCGCCCCCTTCCCGTCCTCTTTTTCTCTCCTCTTTTAGCCATTAAGCGCGCCCCCTTCCCGTCCACTGCGCCCTCTTTTTTTCTCCTCCCAGGTTTGCGCACTTCTTTGTGGCGCCGCTAGCCACGGCAAGGCAGAAGCCAAGTTTTGAGGCGCCTCAAAACTAGCCACGGCAAGGCGGAAGCCATGGAGCATGATCCAGGCGTGGTTACAACGTGTCGGAACATGAATTTCTCCTCTCCTTTCCCCTCCCTCACTGTTTTTCTCCTCCCAGGCTTGCGCAGTTCTTCATGGTGCTAGCCGAGCCGAGGCAGAAGCCATAGAGAGTGATCGTGGTTGATGCGTGTTGTAACATGCCTCTTTCTCTCCTTTCCCTTCCCTTCCCCACCCACTCTCCTCCTCCCAGGTTTGCGCAGTTCTTTGTGGCGCCGCTGGCCAAGGCAGAAGCCATGGAGATCAGAAGCCATGGAGACTGACCGTGGTTGAACGCTTCAGATCAGAATGTGTCTCATGAAGCGTGTTGTAACATGCCTCTTTCTCTCCTTTCCCCTCCCTTCCCCGCCCACTCTCTCTCCCCCTCTCGTCCCTCTCTCCTCCCAGGTTTGCGCAGTTCTTTGTGGCGCCGCTAGCCAAGGCAGAAGCAATGGAGCGAGAGGTTCAGGCTGTGGACTCTGGTGAGTTGACTTGCGTTGACTTGCATTGACTGGGGACGTTGGTGAGTTGCTTTGCGTTGACCTGCGTTGACTGAGGACTCTAGGGTTACCTTGCCCTGGGGAATTTGGTGACGTTGACTTTTGTGATTGGACAGTATTGACTTGATGCGGAAAAAAGAACCTCTGTGACTTGATTCTTTCCTTGTGGGCGTTCAGAACGATCCTCCCCTCTCCCCCCCCCCCCCCCTCCCCCCTCCCATTCCCCCATCAGTCTGCAGAGCGACGTGTGCCGCGTGCAGCAGCTGCAGTGCTTCACATGCGCCCAGCCCAACCACCCTTCTCCACTCCCCAACCCCAATCTTTCTTTTGTTCTGCAACCCTCTCGAGGTGACTTTTGAGTCGACTCAAAAGTCACTTTGTTCTGCAACCCTCACTTCCCCCCCCCCCTCTCTCCTCCCCAACATACAGAGTTCAACAACAGCCTGCAGAGCAACGTGTGCCGCGTGCAGCAGCTGCAGTGCTTCACGTGCGCCCAGCCCGACCACCCCTTCCCCACTCCCCGTTTCCCCCCTTCTCGCTCTTTAACCTCCACTTCACCCTCCACTTCACCCCCCACTTCACCCCCCACTTCACCCCCCACTTCACCCCCCACTTCACCCCCCACTTCACCCCCCACTTCACCCCCCACTTCACCCCCCACTTCACCCCCCACTTCACCCCCCACTTCACCCCCCACTTCACCCCCCACTTCACCCTCCACTTCACCCCCCCCCCCCACCCCTACCCCCTCACGCAGAGTTCAACATCAGTCTGCAGAGCGACGTGTGCCGCGTGCAGCAGCTGCAGTGCTTCACTTGCGCCCAGCCCGACCACCCCTTCCACAAGTTCTCCTGGGGCAACCGCAAGAGCCTCATCGACGACCCCGCCGCCCTGGGCGTCGACATGAGAGAGCGCCTGCTGCAGCTGTACTCGCGGTTCTACACTGCGGGAGCTATGCGACTGGTGGTGGTGGGAGGAGGTGAGTGCGCCGCTGTGCGTGTGTGTGTGTGTGTGTGTGTGTGTGTGTGTGTGTGTGTGTGTATGTTGGTGTGGGTGTGTCGTCTGCCAGCCTGGGTGTCGACATGCGGGAGCGCTGGCTGCAGGCTGCAGCTGTACTCGAGATTCTACACTGCCGGGGCTATGAGGCTGGTGGTGGTGGGAGGTGGTGAGTGCACAGCTGTATGTTGGTGTGGGTGTGTCGTCTGCCACCCTGGGCGTCGACATGAGGGAGCGCCTCCTGCAGCTGTACTCGCGGTTCTACACTGCCGGGGCTATGCGACTGGTGGTGGTGGGAGGAGGTGAGTGCGCCTCCATGCGTATGTGTGTGTGTCTGTAGAGTGTGTATGTTGGTGTGGGTATGTCGTCTGCAGCCCTGGGCGTCGGCATGAGGGAGCGCCTGCTGCAGCTGTACGCGAAATTGTACACTGCTGGGCCTATAAGACTGGTTGTGGTGGGAGGAGGTGAGTGTGAGTCTCTCCCTTGGGTCGCTCCCCCTCTGTGTGTTTCTGGGTGTCGACATGAGGGAGCGCCTGCTGCGGCTATCCTCGAGATTCTATACTGCCGGGGCCATGAGGCTGGTGGTGGTGGGGGGAGGTGAGCGCGACTCTGTGCGTGCGTGTGTGCGCGCGCGCGCGCACGCGTGTGTGTGTGTGTGTGTTAAGTATGTGCGTGCTGGTGTGGGTGTGCCGTCTGCCAGGCTGGTCGTTGACATGAGGAAGCACCTGCTGCAGGTGTAGTCGATATTTTATACTGCCGGGGTCATGCGGCTGGTCATGGTGGGGGGCAGTGTGTGTGGGTGCTTGGGTATGTGCATGCATGTGTACGTATGTGCACGTGGGTGCGGGCGTTGACATGAGGGAGCGCCTGCTGCAGCTGTGCTCGCGGTTCTATGCTGCCAGGTTCATGCGGTTGGGGGTGGTGTGGGGAGGCGAGGACTTACTTGGGTGTGCTTGCTAGAGTGAGCGAGCTAGTGGATGCGTTTGTGTGTGGGCGGGCGGCACCTTTCCCACTTGCCTCGACCGCCTCTTATCTCCTCTTACCCATCTTATTCCGCTTTCACACACTCCCCAGAGCCCCTGGACACCCTCGAGTCATGGGTGCGGCAGCTCTTCTTCCCCATCTCCCCGGGCGGCAGCGGCATCCACCCGCTGGTGCACCAGCTGCCACCACCAGTCACCTTCGCAACACACTCCTGGGACTCTGAAATGCTTGGGCCAGACCAGGAGGACGGGGGGAAGGCGCGTCCAATTTCCACCTTGAATCCTTTCCCTAATCTCTCTCCTTTACCTCCTCCGACCCCATCCCAGAGCCCCTGGACACCCTGGAGTCATGGGTGCGGCAGCTCTTCTCCCCCATCCCCCCGGGCGGCAGCGGCATCCACCCGCTGGTGCACCAGCTGCCACCACCAGTCACCTTCTCGGCGCGCTCCCAGGACTCGGAAATGCTCGGGCCTGACCAGGAGGACGCGGGGAAAGGGGAGGTGCTGGGAGGGGGATGCGATGGCAGTGCTGCTGTTGCTGGCGGTAACGGTGCTGCTGCTGCTGGCGGTGGTGCTGTTGGGGGAAGGAAGGGTCCTCTGGCAGCGGTTCTGGCAGGGAGTAGAGCGGCGTCAGAGGTGTCTACAGCTGCCACGGCCGCTGGTGGTGCTGGGAAGGGTTCTGAGGCGTGTAGGAAAGGCACCGCTGGTGGGATGCAGGTGGGGAAGACAGGAAGGAGTGCAGAAAAATGGGGCGGTGGGAAGGTTGAGGGGGAGGAGGGGGAGAGGGGAGAGAGAGCAGGTGCGGCGGAAGGGGGCGATGGGGGGCAGTGGAGGGGGGTGTGGGAGGGGGGCCGGCTGTACGAGGTGGCGAGTGTGAAGGAGCAGCAGCAGGTGTCGCTCATGTGGTCGCTGCCGTGCCTGCATGGCGAGTACGAGAGCAAACCGCACGACTACATCTCGCACCTTATTGGGCATGGTAGGATAAATACGGGGAGGGGGGTGGGATGGGGGGGTGGTGGTGGGGGGTGATATGGTAAGGTGGCGCGCATGTGATCGCTGCTGTGCCTGCATGGCGAGTACGAGAGCAAGCCGCACGACTACATCTCGCACCTTATAGGCCATGGTAAGAAGGGAGGGGAGGAGGGAGGAGGAGTATGAGGTGTTGAGTACGTGCTCAGGTGTCCATGGGGCCACTGCCGTGCCGGCCGTGCATGCATGGGGAACATTTTGAGTCGACTCAGAAGTCACCTTGCATGGGGAATAGTACATGACTTCATTTTCACATCTCACTCGCATGAGATGCATGAGATGCATGTCTATCGTCATGACATGCAGTCACATCTCAGCTTTTGAGTCGACTCAAATGCAGTCACATCTCACTCCTTCCTCCCTTACACCCCTCACCCTCTCCTCCCCCTCCCCCCCCTCCTTTCCCTCCTCCCCCTCCTCCCCCTCCTCCCCCTCCTCCCCCTTCTCCCCACACACACCATCTCAAGGGCAAGGGTAGGACCACGTTGTAACCCTTCCCCGTCCCGTCCCGCCCATACCCTCTCTCCTCCCTCACCTCCCCCACTCGAGAGGGCAGCGGCAGCCTGCTATCGCTGCTCAAGAGCAAGGGTAGGACCACTGCTCAAGAGCAAGGGTAGGACCACTGCTCAAGAGCAAGGGTAGGACCACTGCTCAAGAGCAAGGGTAGGACCACGTTGTAACCCTTCCCTGTCCCGTCCCGTCCCGTCCATACCCACTATCCTCCCTCATCCGGTACCGTTCCCCCCTCCCCTCCCTCATCCTGTACCGTTCCCCCCTCTCCTCCCTCATCTCCCCCTCTGCAGAGGGCAGCGGCAGCCTGCTATCTCTGCTCAAGGGCAAGGGATGGGCAACCGAACTGGCAGCGGGGGTGGGGGAGAGCGGATACGAGAAGAGCTCCCTCGCCTTTGTCTTCACCGTTACAGTCACACTCTCAGATGACGGCCTCAAGCACGTGAGTCCCAGATGCTCCTGTCTCAGAGGCGGGCTAGTCAGAGGCAGCGCAGCACAGCACAGCACAGCACAGCACAGCAACACGCTGCGCCATGCACTTTACAGGCAGTGCTTGTTGTCGGAGCTTGAGTATACAAGGGCTTTGGTTGAACTAACAGTCACCTCGTTTTGAGTCGACTCAAAAGTACCTGAGCCCTGTGTCCTCAGCATGCCAATGCAGGCAGGGGGGCTGCCTGCAGACCCGCCTCTTACCTCCAATCCCTCTACCTTCCAACCCCCTCATGCCAGGCATTGGATGTGGTGGGCACGGTGTTTGAGTACATCACCATGCTGCGTCAGGCACCCGGCACAGCAGTGGATGTTTGAGGAGCTAAGGGCAAGCGCAACCTTCCTCCCTCTCCGTGTCCCGCCCACAACCTCCAACTCCCCCGCACCATCAGGCTCTAGACGTGGTGGGAGCGGTTTTCCAGTACATCACCATGCTGCACCAGGCACCCCCGCAGCACTGGGTGTTTTAGCAGCTAAGGGCAATCGCAGCCTTCCTCCCTCTCCGCTTCCCTCCCTTAACCACTCCCCGCCCCACTCCAGGCTCTAGACGTGGTGGGAACGGTGTTCCAGTACATCACCATGCTGCGCCAGGCCCCCCCCCAGCACTGGGTGTTTGAGGAGCTTCAGGCCATCGCAGTAATGGACCTGCGGTTTGCAGAGGAGGAGTCGCCGGATGAGTACGCCGTCAGGCTTGCAGGTCAGCTCTCAGGGGATAGGGCTTAAGGTTTTGGGGGGTTTAGGGTTTGCAGGTCAGGCAGTGGTGTTTGAGGAGCTTCAGGCCATTGCAGTGATGGACCTGCGGTTTGCCGAGGAGGAATCACCTGACGAATATGCTGTCAGGCTTGCAGGTCAGCTCTCAGGGGATAGGGCTTAGGGGTGTAGTGGGTTTTGGGTTTGCAGGGCAGCCAGTGGTGTTTGAGGAGCTTCAGGCCATTGCAGTGATGGACCTGCGGTTTGCAGAGGAGGAATCGCCGGATGAGTACGCCGTCAGGCTCGCAGGTCAGAGGTTGGGGCTCGAAGAACCGGGGTAGGAGCTACATCTCGTGTCCCCATTAGCCATGGACCTGCTGTTTGCAGAGGAGGAGTCGCTGGGTGAGTACGCCGTCTCGCTGGCAGGTCAGCTTTTAGGGCGTAGGGCTTAAGGGTTTCCGGGGATTGAAGGGGTTCAGGGGGTCTAGGGGGTTTAGGGTTTGCAGGCCAAGCATGGTGGGTGTTTGAGCAGCTAACGGCGATCGCATCCATGGAAATGCTTTGAGGCGCCTCAAAACTCGCATCCATGGTGATGCACGTTGCAGAGGAGGAGTCGCCTGATGAATATGCCGTCAGGCTCGCAGGTCAACTCTCAGGGGGCAGGGCTTAGGGGGTTTAGGGTTTGCATGTCAACCAGTGGTGTTTGACTTCAGGTCATATTCTATTACTACCCCAAGCGGGACATGATATTAGGAGACTACACCCATGACAAGTGGGACTACATCCATGACAAGTGGGACTACATCCATGACAAGTGGGACTACATCCATGACAAGTGGGACTACATCCATGACAAGTGGGACTACATCTCCCTGCTATCCCTGCTCTCCCTGCTCTCCCTGCTCTCCCTGCTCTCCCTGCTCTCCCTGCTCTCCCTGCTCTCCCTGCTCTCCCTGCTCTCCCTGCTCTCCCTGCTCTCCCTGCTCTCCCTGCTCTCCCTGATCTCCCTGCTCTCCCTGCTCTCCCTGCTCTCCCTGCTCTCCCTGCTCTCCCTGCTCTCCCTGCTCTCCCTGCTCTCCCTGCTCTCCCTGCTCTCCCTGCTCTCCCTGCTCTGCCCTGCTCTCCCTGCTCTCCCTGCTCTCCCTGCTCTCCTCCCCTGCTCTCCCTGCTCTCCCTGCTCTCCCTGCTCTCCCTGCTCTCCCTGCTCTCCCTGCTCTCCCTGCTCTCCCTGCTCTCCCTGCTCTCCCTGCTCTCCCTGCTCTCCCTGCTCTCCCTGCTCTCCCTGCTCTCCCTGCTCTCCCTGCTCTCCCTGCTCTCCCTGCTCTCCTGCTCTCCCTGCTCTCCCTGCTCTCCCTGCTCTCCCTGCTCTCCCTGCTCTCCCTGCTCTCCCTGCTCTCCCTGCTCTCCCTGCTCTCCCTGCTCTCCCTGCTCTCCCTGCTCTCCCTGCTCTCCCTGCTCTCCCTGCTCTCCCTGCTCTCCCTGCTCTCCCTGCTCTCCCTGCTCTCCCTGCTCTCCTCCCTGCTCTCCCTGCTCTCCCCTGCTCTCCCTGCTCTCCCTGCTCTCCCTGCTCTCCCTGCTCTCCCTGCTCTCCCTGCTCTCCCTGCTCTCCCTGCTCTCCCCTCTCCCTGCTCTCCCTGCTCTCCCTGCTCTCCCTGCTCTCCCTGCTCTCCCTGCTCTCCCCCTGCTCTCCCTGCTCTCCCTGCTCTCCCTGCTCTCCCTGCTCTCCCTGCTCTCCCTGCTCTCCCTGCTCTCCCTGCTCTCCCTGCTCTCCCTGCTCTCCCTGCTCTCCCTGCTCTCCCTGCTCTCCCTGCTCTCCCTGCTCTCCCTGCTCTCCCTGCTCTCCCTGCTCTCCCTGCTCTCCCTGCTCTCCCTGCTCTCCCTGCTCTCCCTGCTCTCCCTGCTCTCCCTGCTCTCCCTGCTCTCCCTGCTCTCCCTGCTCTCCCTGCTCTCCCTGCTCCCCCCCCCCCCCCCCCCCCCCCCCTGCTCTCCCTGCTCTCCCTGCTCTCCCTGCTCTCCCTGCTCTCCCTGCTCTCCCTGCTCTCCCTGCTCTCCCTGCTCTCCCTGCTCTCCCTGCTCTCCCTGCTCTCCCTGCTCTCCCTGCTCTCCTCTCCCTGCTCTCCCTGCTCTCCCTGCTCTCCCTGCTCCCCTCCCTGCTCTCCCTGCTCTCCCTGCTCTCCCTGCTCTCCCTGCTCTCCCTGCTCTCCCTGCTCTCCCTGCTCTCCCTGCTCTCCCTGCTCTCCCTGCTCTCCCTGCTCTCCCTGCTCCCCTGCTCTCCCTGCTCTCCCTGCCCTCCCCCTGCTCTCCCTGCTCTCCCCCCCCTGCTCTCCCTGCTCTCCCTGCTCTCCCTGCTCTCCCTGCTCTCCCTGCTCTCCCTGCTCTCCCTGTCTCCCTGCTCTCCCTGCTCTCCCTGCTCTCCCTGCTCTCCCTGCTCTCCCTGCTCTCCCTGCTCTCCCTGCTCTCCCTGCTCTCCCTGCTCTCCCTGCTCTCCCTGCTCTCCCTGCTCTCCCTGCTCTCCCTGCTCTCCCTGCTCTCCCCTCCCTGCTCTCCCTGCTCTCCCTGCTCCTCCCCTGCTCTCCCTGCTCTCCCTGCTCTCCCTGCTCTCCCTGCTCCTGCTCCCCTGCTCTCCCTGCTCTCCCTGCTCTCCCTGCTCTCCCTGCTCTCCCTGCTCTCCCTGCTCTCCCTGCTCTCCCTGCTCTCCCTGCTCTCCCTGCTCTCCCTGCTCTCCCCCTGCTCTCCCTGCTCTCCCTGCTCTCCCTGCTCTCCCTGCTCTCCCTGCTCTCCCTGCTCTCCCTGCTCTCCCTGCTCTCCCTGCTCTCCCCTGCTCTCCCTGCTCTCCCTGCTCTCCCTGCTCTCCCTGCTCTCCCCTGCTCTCCCTGCTCTCCCTGCTCTCCCTGCTCTCCCTGCTCTCCCTGCTCTCCCTGCTCTCCCTGCTCTCCTCCCCCTGCTCTCCCTGCTCCTCCCCTGCTCTCCCTGCTCTCCCTGCTCTCCCTGCTCTCCCTGCTCTCCCTGCTCTCCCTGCTCTCCCTGCTCTCCCTGCTCTCCCTGCTCTCCCTGCTCTCCCTGCTCTCCCTGCTCTCCCTGCTCTCCCTGCTCCCTGCTCTCCCTGCTCTCCCTGCTCTCCCTGCTCTCCCTGCTCTCCCTGCTCTCCCTGCTCTCCCTGCTCTCCCTGCTCTCCCCTGCTCTCCCTGCTCTCCCTGCTCTCCCTGCTCTCCCTGCTCTCCCTGCTCTCCCTGCTCTCCCTGCTCTCCCCCCCCCCCCCCCCCCCCCCCCCCCCTGCTCTCCCTGCTCTCCCCTGCTCTCCCTGCTCTCCCTGCTCTCCCCCCCCCCCCCCCCCCCCCCCCCCCCCCCCCCCCCCCCCCCCCCCCCCCCCTCCCTGCTCTCCCTGCTCTCCCTGCTCTCCCCTCCCCTCCCCCTGCTCTCCCTGCTCTCCCTGCTCTCCCTGCTCTCCCTGCTCTCCCTGCTCTCCCTGCTCTCCCTGCTCTCCCTGCTCTCCCCTGCTCTCCCTGCTCCCCCTCCCCTGCTCCCCTCTCCCTGCTCTCCCTGCTCTCCCTGCTCTCCCTGCTCTCCCTGCTCTCCCTGCTCTCCCTGCTCTCCCTGCTCTCCCTGCTCTCCCTGCTCTCCCTGCTCTCCCTGCTCTCCCTGCTCTCCCTGCTCTCCCTGCTCTCCCTGCTCTCCCTGCTCTCCCTGCTTCTCCTCCCTGCTCTCCCCTGCTCTCCCTGCTCCCGCTCTCCCTGCTCTCCCTGCTCTCCCTGCTCTCCCTGCTCTCCCTGCTCTCCCTGCTCTCCCTGCTCTCCCTGCTCTCCCTGCTCTCCCTGCTCTCCCTGCTCTCCCTGCTCTCCCTGCTCTCCCTGCTCTCCCTGCTCTCCCTCCTCCCTGCTCTCCCTGCTCTCCCTGCTCTCCCTGCTCTCCCCCCCCCCCCCCCTCCCCCCCCCCTCTCCCTGCTCTCCCTGCTCTCCCTGCTCTCCCTGCTCTCCCTGCTCTCCCCCCCTGCTCTCCCTGCTCTCCCTGCTCTCCCTGCTCCCCCCCCTGCTCTCCCTGCTCTCCCTGCTCTCCCTGCTCTCCCCTCCCCTCTCCCTGCTCTCCCCCCCCTGCTCTCCCCTGCTCTCCCTGCTCTCCCTGCTCTCCCTGCTCTCCCTGCTCTCCCTGCTCTCCCTGCTCTCCCTGCTCTCCCCTGCTCTCCCTGCTCTCCCTGCTCTCCCTGCTCTCCCTGCTCTCCCTGCTCTCCCTGCTCTCCCTGCCTCCCTCCCCTGCTCTCCCTGCTCTCCCTGCTCTCCCTGCTCTCCCTGCTCTCCCTGCTCTCCCTGCTCTCCCTGCTCTCCCTGCTCTCCCTGCTCTCCCTGCTCTCCCTGCTCTCCCTGCTCTCCCTACTTTCCCTGCTCTCCCTGCTCTCCCTGCTCTCCCTGCTCTCCCTGCTCTCCCTGCTCTCCCTGATCCCCCTGATCTCCCTGCTCTCCCTGCTCTCCCTGCTCTCCCTGCTCTCCCTGCTCTCCCGGCTCTCCCTGCTCTCCCTGCTCTCCCTGCTCTCCCTGCTCTCCCTGCTCTCGCTGCGCTCAACCCATGCCTCTCACCTTGTGCTGTCTTTCCACATCCGTCTACCACTCCCCCTCCAGGCAACATGTTCTACTATCCCAAGCGCCACGTGATAGCAGGGAACTACATCCATGACAAGTGAGATCCGGATCGGGTTGCCTACCTGCTCTCGTACCTCCTTGCTCTCCCTGCACTCTTCTCACGCCTCTTGTCTCTTCCTCGCCTGCCCTGCTCTCCCTGCTCTCCCTGCTCTCCCTGCTCTCCCGCCCTAACAAACAGGCAACATGTTCTACTACCCCAAGCGCCACGTGATAGCAGGGGACTACATCCATGACAAGTGGGATCCGGATCGGATTGCCTACCTGCTCTCTCTGCTCTCACCCCACTCTGTGCGCCTGGACCTGCTCACACACTCCTTCGACCACAGCAGGGAAGGTCAGTATGCACAGCAGGGTTATATGTTGAGGGCTCTCGCTGCTCTCTCACCCCACACTGTGCGCCTGGACCTACTCACACACTCCTTCGACCAGAACAGGGAAGGTGAGCGGTTTAGATGAGGCTCAAGGGAAGCGCGGGCCTTCAGGCAATGCTTCGCTCTCTGCTCTCTCACCCCACACTGTGCGCCTGGACCTGCTCACAACCTCCTTCGACCAGAACAGGGAAGGTGAGTGCTTTGTGTGTGTTAGCATGTAGAGGGGCCAAAGCACATTGCTGCTCTTGCCTCACAGCGTTCGCACCTGGACCTGCTCCCTCACTCCTGCTCCCTCACTCCTGCTCCCTCACTCCTGCTCCCTCACTCCTGCTCCCTCACTCCTGCTCCCTCACTCCTGCTCCCTCCCTCTCGCATTCATCCCTCTCTACGGCTCTGTCACCCGCCCCTGACAGGCATTCTCAAGGAGCCCTGGTTTGGCGTGCCCTACACCACCACCCAGGTGCCTGCGTCCCTGCTGGACCAATGGGCGAGCGACACGTGGCTGAACCCCGACCTGTGCATGCCCCCGCGCAACGAGTTCATCCCCACTGACTTCTCCCTGCGCCCCTCCAAGACCACCACCACTGCTGCTGCTCCCACTGCGGCCACCACTGCTGCCGCCACCGCTGCTGCTGCAAGCACTGCTCCCTTGGCTCTCAACACAGCCCCCGTTACCGCTGCCACCACCACCGCTGCCGCTACGACATCTGCTCCTGTCTTGGGTTCTAGTCCTGGTGGCGATACTTGTGCTGTTAGCAGTAGTCAGCCACTTAACGGCAGTGCGCCCAGCGTTCCCCGCGTGGTTCTGGAGGACGGGCGGTGCAAGGTGTGGCACAAGCAGGACGACGTGTTCCTCACTCCGCGCCTCAACGCCCACTTCGCCCTCTCCTCCCCCTCCGCCTGCGACTCTGCCCGTTCCGCTGCGCTCACGGAACTGGCTGTCAAGCTGATTGAGGACTCCTTGAACGAGACGCTCTACCTGGTGAGTCACCCTGTGTTCTGAGGCTGGTATGGTATGGGAGATGCTGGGTGTGTACAAGCCTGCAAGGTGTGGCACAAGCAGGACGACGTGTTCCTCACTCCGCGCCTCGACGCCCTCTCCTCCCTGGCCGCCTGCAACTCCCCTCGTTCCGCTGCGCTCATGGAGCTGGCTGTCAAGCTGATTGAGGATTCCCTGAACGAGGCGCTCTATCTGGTGAGTCCGCCTGTGTTTCTGTGTGAATGCCTGCGTCGCCCTCTCCTCCCCGGCTGCCCGCGGCTCCCCTCGCTCCGCTGCGCTCACGGAGCTGGCTGTGAAGCTGATAGAGGATTCCTTGAACGAGATTCTCTATCTGGTGAGCCCGCCTGCGTCTTGGTGTTTGCCTTGGGGTGGGTCTCTCAACGCCCACTTCGCCCTCTCACCTCCCCCGCTGACTCTGGCTCCCCTCACTCTGCTGCCATCTGTGCTTTAAAATCCCTACTCTACCCCCTTTCCCTGTTCTCCTCCCTCCCCCCTTTCCCCCCCCTACCTTCCCACCCGCTCCCTCCCCACCCTCCCTCCGCACGCAGGCAAGTGTGGCCAAGCTACACACAGTCATGCCCGTCCAGGGCTTTAAGCTCATCCCCCCCTCCCTCTTTCCCCACTTCTCTCCCCCCTCCGCGCCCTCCCCTCCACACACAGGCGAGTGTGGCCAAGCTAGACACGGTCATGTCGGTGCAGGGCTTTAAGATCGAGGTCCGCATCACAGGGTTCAGCCACAAGCTGCCAGCGCTTGCCGCCCGCATCTTCCGCCACATCAGCACGTTCCAGGCGGCTGCCGACCGCTTCAGTGCCCTCAAGGAGGAGCGGTGCCGGGCGTACCGCAACGCGCTCTTAAAGCCCCTCAAGCACTCGGCATACCTGCGCCTGCTGCTGCTGCGCACGCCGGCCTGGACCATCCCCGATAAGCTATCGGCGCTGAGTGCATGCGAGGTGGAGGACTTGAATGCATTCCTCAAGTCCCTCTTCTCTTGGGTAAGTTTGCGCGTGAGTTTGCCTGGGTCTCTGAATCCCCAGCTGCTACTTTTGTGCAATCATCAAAACCTATCAACCGCTCAAGGAGGAGCGGTGCCAGTCGTACCGCAACGCGCTCTTAAAGCCCCTCAAGCACTCGGCGTACCTGCGCCTGCTGCAGCTGCGCATGCCGGTCTGGACCATCCCCGATAAGGTATCGGCGCTGTTTTTGAGGCGCCTCAAAAAAGACTCCTCTGCGCACGCTGGTCTGGACCATCCCCGATAATCTATCGGCACTGAGGGCATGCGAGGTGGAGGAGCTGAATGCTTTGAGGCGCCTCAAAACATGCGAGGTGGAGGAGCTGAATGCTTTGAGGCGCCTCAAAACATGCGAGGTGGAGGAGCTGAATGCTTTGAGGCGCCTCAAAACATGTGAGGTGGAGGACCTGAATGCACTCCTGCACTCGCTCTTCTCCCGGGTGAGTCTGGGCAAGTTTCCTTGGGCGTATCAACCCCGCCCTGCTACTTCAACGCTGTCCTTGATGGGCACCGTCCTTGATGGGCACCGTCCTTGATGGGCACCATCCTCTGCTGGAGCTGCCAGGTAGAGTGCTGCCTGCAGCTGCAACCCAAACTTTTCAGTCGACTCAATAGTCAACCCAAACCCCTCCATCCCCCTTGGTACCTTCTTCATGCCCCCTTCCTTCCCCCACTGGTTGCCGCCCAGGTGCACATTGAGATGCTCATCCATGGCAATGCAACAGAGGAGGACGCTCTGTCACCGGTTGCCGACACCCTCCCGGTGCCCGCCCTTCGGGAGCTGCCAACCGAGCGCTGCCTGCAGCTTATTCACACAGAAACCTGCTCCCCCTTTCCCACTTCCCCCTTCCCTCTTCCGTTCCCCACCCCTCCCCCCTCAGGTGCACATGGAGGTGCTGATCCATGGCAATGCAACAGAAGCAGACGCTCTATCACTAGCTGCAGCCGTCACCGACACGCTCCCGGTGCCCGCCCCTCCACTGCTGGAGATCCCAGCCGAGCGCTGCCTGCAGCTGCCACGTGGCGCGTCCCTGTTGGTGGAGAGCCCGGTGGGGAACCCAGCAGAGGAGAACTCAGCAGTGGAGGTGTATTACCAGGCATGCCAGGACCTGGGCCGAGCGTCCATCAGAGACCGCTCGCTCGTGGACCTGCTAGAGCAGGTGAGCTGAGAAGGTGGCTGTTGGTGTTGACAATGAGCTCGGCAGTGGAGGTGTACTACCAAGCGTGCCAGGACCTGGGGCGAACATCTATCAGAGACCGCTCTCTGGTGGACCGCTCTCTGAAGAAGTGGAACTGGGTAAGAAGGGGACATGGATAATGCTCAAGAACTATCCCCCCAGCGGAGGAGAACTGAGCAGTGGAGGGAGGTGCACTACCGAGCCTGCCAGGACCTGGGCTGTGCGTCGATACAGGACAGCTCGCTGGTGGACCTTCTTGAACTGGTGAGCTGAGAAGGTGGCTGTTGGTGTGGACTTGGAACTCAGCAGTGCGGTTGTACCACCAGGCTTGCCAGGACCTTGGCTGGGCGTCCATCAGAGACCGTGCTCTCGTGGACCTACTAGAGCAGGTGAGTGCTAGAAAGGTGGCACTGAGTCATTGCAAGAGTCACAGGAAACGCACCCAGCACTGGAGAACTCAGCAGTGGAGGTGTGCTATCAGGCCTGCCAGGACCTGGGGCAGGCGCCTATCAGGGACCATTCGCTGGTGGAAACAGATCTCCGGACATAATTCCAGTGTCCGGAGATCTGTTCGCTGGTGGACCTTGTCGAGCAGGTGGAGGAGAGAAAGGGGACCTCTTGTTTAGTGCTCATGTCGCCCTCTTTTTGAGGCTCCTCAAAAATCGTGTCTAGACCTTGTTTAGTGCTCATGGCGCCCTCTTGTTGCTTCTGAGTCGACTGTGAGCTCACCAGTGGAGGTGCTCTCCCAGACGAGCCAGAACAAAGGGCAGGCGTCCATCAGGGACCGTGCTCTGGTGGATCTCTTCTGGAGCGGGTGTGTGGATCTCTTTTGGGTCCTCTTACAACCCAGCAGGTGAATGGCATGGCAGGTGACTGGCTGGCAGCAGGAGTCGACCTAGCTGTTGTTGATGTTGATGAAATTGCATGTTTGCCTCGTTCTGACCAAACTGCACATGGCTGTCCCCTGCCAACGTCCCAGGTCATGTCAGAGCCTCTGTTTGACACATTGAGGACCAAGGAGCAGCTGGGGTACCACGTGGACTGAGACACCCTCCTCACTCGCCTCATGGCATGCTGCCTACCCCCAATGCGCATCCCATCAACCCTCATCCCAGGTCATGTCAGAGCCCCTATTCGACACGTTGAGAACCAAGCAGCAGCTGGGGTACCGCGTGGACTGCGGCATGCGCCCCACCTCTGAACCTAGGCTTTGACACTCATGCCTTTTACCCACCCCGCATGTCCATCTCTCGTCTATCCCAGGTCATGTCAGAGCCTCTGTTCGACACATTGAGGACCAAGGAGCAGCTGGGGTACCGCGTGGACTGCGGCACGCGCCTCACCCACGGCGTCTTTGGCTTCTGCATCCGCGTGCAGTCAGCCGAATATGGCCCGGATTACCTGCAGGGCAGGGTAGACTCGTTCCTCAAGACCTTCCGAGACAACCTGGTAAGCACCTGGTAATGACCAGCTCTCCTCAAGAGCTTCCGAGATAACCTGGTAGGCACTCGCCTGGTCGTGACTGTGCGGGTGTGGCATGGACAAGAGTGTAATGTTGTGAGATGCCGTCGAGGGTGTCTTTGGCTTCTGCATCCGCGTGCAGTCCGCCGACTATGGCCTGGATTACCTGCATGGGCGGGTTGACTCATTCCTCAAGAGGTTCCAAGATGACCTGGAAACAACCATCCTGCTGACTAGAGCCTAGTGTGTGCTTGAGGCGCCTTGTAAGCTGTCTTTGGCTTCTGCATCCGCATGCAGTCACATGTGATACCCGCATGCTGACTATTGGCCAGACTTCCTGCTGATAGTCACTTGTTCCTTACGTGAGATTTCATTTTACTCTCAAGTTGTTCCTCTCCGTTGCTCAAGTGATCAACTTCGTACCGCTGCTCTTCCTACCATGAGTGACGACGACACATGTTCCTCATATGAGGTCTCATGTTGCTCTCCCTCCCTCGCATTACTTACCCACCCACTCCCTCCCTCTCAGTCTCTCACCCTTTCAGAGAGCCCAACCAGAAATCGATGTCAGGGCGTACAGGGTGGCCCTCCGGGTGCTGAAGATGCGCTCTACCCTTCTCACTCACTCTCACTCACTCATTCAAGCGGTCTTTGTTTTGCTGTAAACGTGGGTACATGCTTGTCATGCAAGGAGAGCGCAAGATAAGTACAAGGGTTTACTAGCAGACCCCTGCCTCAGGGAGCTCTGGCCCTCTCCCTCTCTCTCCTCCCAGCCTCCCCTTTTACCCATCCCCCAGAGCGCCCCACCGGATACTGACTTGCAGGGCGCACAGGGCGGCCCTGCAGGTGCTGAAGATGCGCAAGGACCACACACTTGGGGATGAGACCCACTCTCACTCTCACCCCTCTCCCTCTCTGCTCCCCCTCACCCCCCCCTGCCTTCCCCCCTCCCACCCACCCATTCCCCAGAACGCCCTACCGGAAACGGACTTGAGGGCGCACAGGGCGGCCCTGCAGGTGCTGAAGATGCGCCAAGACCACACTCTTACCCCTCTCCCCCCGTCCCTCCCCCCGTCCCCCCCCACCGTCCCTGCCGCCGTCCCTGCCCTCGTTCCTCTCCCCCGCCCCCCTCCCTGTACCCCCCCCAGAGCGCCCTACCGGAGACTGACTTCAGGGCGCACAGGGCGGCCCTGCAGGTGCTGAAGATGCGCAAAGACCACACGCTGGGGGATGAGACGCACCGCTACTGGGAGCAGATCTGGGAGGGCAGGTGAGATCTAGGAGGAGAGGGAAATGAGTGAGTCAAGATTGTGTGGGACAGAGAGAGAGGCACGGACCACACTCTGGGGGATGAGACGCACCGCTACTGGGAGCAGATCTGGGAGGGCAGTTGAGACAGGGAGGGCAGGTGAGACAGGGAGGGCAGGTGAGACAGGGAGGGCAGTTGAGACAGGGAGGGCAGTTGAGACAGGGAGGGCAGTTGAGACAGGGAGGGTAGGTGAGACAGGGAGGGCAGTTGAGATAGGGAGGGCAGGTGAGACAGGGAGGGCAGGTGAGACAGGGAGGGCAGTTGAGACAGGGAGGGTAGGTGAGACAGGTGAGGGATGTGGCGCCTATCAAAACCGCGTGATAGGAGTCTAGTTTTGAGGCGCCTCAAAACCGCGTGATAGGAGTCTAGTTTTGAGGCACCTCAAAATTAGAAAGGCAGGTGAGGAATGTGGGGGGGAAATTGGGTGGGACAAAAGTGGAAGGGAAGAGGGGAGTAGAGGAGGGGCAGGTGGGTGGGGAGGATAGAGGGGAGTAGGAGGAGGGGAAAGCGATATTTAACACTGAATCTGAGATTTTGCAGGGTGTTTTTGAGAATTCTCAAAAACACCCTGCATAATCGAGGGGCAGGCGGGTGGGGATGCAGGGGAGTAGGAGGAGGGGAAAGCGATATTTAGAGCGATAGAATCCATTAACACTGAATCTGAGGCTTTCCGCGATCGAATCCATTAGAGCAATAGTCTTTTGTCTGCTTGAATTCACCGTCAGTTGTCTTAATTCTTTGCCATGCGTCTGTGCCCCTTAGCCGTGTTGTAACACATTGATGCTAAGCACCTTCTAATATTCGTGGTGAAATAATTTTTCCTGATGTTAAACCTTCTCACTTTATTGTTTTTATAATCCCCCCCCCCCCCCCCCACTCCCAACCAACTCCCTCCCCCCCCTCCTCTCCCTCTGCTTATTCCTTCTGTTTCCTCCAATTTTCCTCTTCGTCTCATGCCAGCTGGAATCTGTTGCTCTCTGCAACATCACGCTTGCTTATGAGCTGTTGGTTTCCACACCCTCGCTTTTACCCCCCAAACCCCCCTTGTCCCGCATTCCCCCAGCTCTCTATTCAACTCGCGCCAACTGGAAGCCGTAGCTCTCTGCAACATCACGCTTGCTGAGCTGTGCGCGTGGTTCGACCGCCACGTCAGCATGACACCTGTCAGTGATGACGTGGACAGCTTCACAGAAGGCCCGGCTGTCGAGAATGGAGGGGGCAATGGGGAGGCTGGAGGGGAGGCGGGTAATGGGGAGGCTAATGAGGGGGATGGGAGAGGGAAGGTGCATGCGAGACGGGCTCTGGTGCACGTGTGGGGGGCAGGGAAGTGGAAGGAGAGAGGGGAGGTGAGCAGCGAGGAAGGGGAGAAGGATGCTGGGAAGGTTGAGAAGGGTGGGAAGAAGGGTGGCAAGGATGGCAAGGATGGCAAGGAGGGTGCTGCTATCACTAGTAAGGATGGTGGGTGGAGGGAAGGGCAGGTGGTGGTGGAGGTGGGGGATATAGAGAAGGAAAAGGCTTCTCTTGAGCTGTTTCCGCTGGTCAAACTGGTGGCTGTGTGATTGCGGTGGCAAAGGCTGCACTGTTGTTGACTCAGCTTTTCTCGCAGTGTGCGAAGCTGCGAGAGTCAGAGGTGGGATACACAGGTGTGTGCTGCACTGCACGCACGCAGACTTTTGAGTCTACTCAAAAGTCAGCTCGTAATTGCGGTGGCACAAGCTGCACTGTTGTTGACTCAGCTGTTCTCGCAGTGAGAGTAGCTGCGAGCAGCGACATTCATATTAGGTGGGATACACGGGTGTGTGCTGCACTGCACGCACGCATTGCTGGTCGTGGGTGTGCATGTGCAACACCTTAAGAGAGCGTGCCGTAAACCAAACCACTGAAAGGTGCACCACTGTCTGTTGTTACCCTCCGGTAATGGCTTCAATTTGTGGTGCTTTTTTTGGCAGCATTAGTTATGGTGTAGTAGTTGATGCAGGCCCTCAGATTCGTTTTAGGCCACTGAATTTTCAGGGTCGGTACACAAAGGCACCCTGAAAACACCCTGAAAATCAGGGTTGGTACTGTTTTTAAACTATCTATACTATTCCAACGATGATTTTTCCAGGTCGGTGCAGAAAAACACCCTGAAAATCAGCAAAATCAGGAAAAGAAGGGCTGATTTGATGTGTATGTTACACATGGGAAAATGATTGAATCACAACTGGTTGTGGCAAACAACAGATTTATTAAATGTCCTCCACACTGTCAAACATGTGTATTTGTCATGTTTGTATAGACTGTATAGAGTCACCTCTTAGAGGATACAAAACTTAGATATATTTGTGTGTACTCTCACTTTACTATTATTCAATTATTTTGATATGGTATCACGCGTAGGTAGGATCCCCCCCCCCCCCCACCTACCGCTTCCGCTCATGCCCCCTAGCGCCCCTCCTGGGCCCCGTCGCGCTCCTCCCAGGCCCCGTCGCGCTCCTCCCAGGCCCCCTAGCGCCCCTCCTGGGCCCCATCGCGCTCCTCCCTGGGCTTCGTAGCGCCCCTGCCAGGCCCCGTCGCGCCCCTTCTGGGCTTCGTAGCGCCCCTGCCAGGCCCCGTCGCGCCCCTCCCAGGCCCCGTCGCGCTCCTCCCAGGCCCACTAGCGCCCCTCCTGGGCCCCGTCGTGCTCCTCCCAGGTCCCGTAGCGCCCCGTCGCGCCCCTCCTGGGCCCCGTAGCGCCCCTCCTGGGCCTCGTCGCGCCCCTCCTGGGCTTCGTAGCGCCCCTCCTGGGCCCTGTACCGCCCTCCCAGGCCCCGTCGCGCCCCTCCCAGGCCCCGTCGCGCCCCTCCCAGCCCCTCTAGCGCCCCTCCTGGGCCCCGTCGCGCTCCTCCCAGGCCCCGTAGCGCCCCGTCGCGCCCCTCCTGGGCCCCGTAGCGCCCCTCCTGGGCCTCGTCGCGCCCCCTCCTGGGCTTCGTAGCGCCCCTCCTGGGCCCTGTAACGCCCTCCCAGGCCCCGTCGCGCCCCTCCCAGGACCCGTCGCGCTCCTCCCAGGCCCCCTAGCGCCCCTCCTGGGCCCCGTCGCGCTCCTCCCAGGCCTCGTAGCGCCCCTCCTGGGCTCTTTCGCGCCCCTCCTGGGCTCCGTAGCGCCCCTCCTGGGCCCCGTCGCGCCCCTCCTGGGCCCCGTAGCGCCCCTCCTGGGCCCCGTCGCGCCCTCCTTGGGCCCTGTAGCGCCCCTCCTGGGCCCCGTCGCGCCCCTCCCAGGCCCCGTCGCGCCCCTTCCAGGCCCCGTAGCGCCCCTCCTGGGCCTCGTCGCGCCCCTCCTGGGCTTCGTAGCGCCTCTCCTGGGCCCCCCGTCGTGCCCCTCCTGGGCCCCGTAGCGCCCCTCCTCGGCCGCGTCGTACCCGTCGCCGCCGCTCGGCCCCGTCGTGCCCGCCCGGCGCCGTCGCGCCCGCCCGACCCCGTCGCCGCCGCCCGGCCCCGTCGCGCCCGCCCGGCGCCGTCGCCGCCGCCCGGCCCCGTCGCGCCCGCCCGGCGCCGTCGCACCCTGCCCGGCCCGTCGCGCTCGCCCGGCCCCGTCGCAGCCGCCCGGCCCCGTCGCACCCGCCCGGCCCCGTCGCACCCTGCCCGGCCCCGTCACAGCCGCCCGGCCCCGTCGCACCAGCCCGGCCGCCATCCCGCTCGCTCGGCCCTGTCGCCCCGTCCCGGCCCTGTCGCATCAGCCCGGCCCCGTCGCGCCCGCCCGGCCCCGTCGGGCCAGCCCCGGCCCCGTCCTCCTCACTGGTACGGTCCCCCCCCCCCCCCCCCCCCCCCCCCCCCCGCCCTGCTCCGTGCCGCCCTGCACCGCACTGCACCGCACTGTACCTCACTGCACCGCACTGCACCGCACTGTACCGCACAGTACCGCACTGCACCGCACTGTATCGCACTGCACCGCACCCCACCTAGTTGCACCGCCCTGCACAGCACTGGACTGTTCCTGATGGCGGCGGAGCTTCGCTTCGACGCTGAAGGTCAGCCCCTAGAGTTCGAGGCGTGGCTTGCCGACCTCCGCCGCCAACTCACTGGCCAGCGGCAGGATGGTGAACCGCTTTCCGCACACCTTGACGGTACGCTCCCCTGCCCAGACCCTCCTGCTATTCTGCCCGCTGACCCCACACCCACTGAGCGTGAGTCTACTGCTGCCACTGCCCGTGCGCGCTCTGTCTGGCTTTCTCGCGATGCTGTCGCCCAGCTTGCCATTAGCAACGCCCTCCCCCCGTCCGAGCGTCCTCGCTTTAGGTCCCTCACTACTGCTCAGGCATACTTAGATGCTGTCATCAAGCGCTATTCCACCCCTCCGGCTGCCTCGGTGGGTCGCCTGATCCTCCCGCTGCTCTTTCCTGACCTTGCTTCGTTCCCCACTGTCTCTGACCTCGCTGCCCACCTGCGCTCGATAGAGGAGACCTGGCGCGCCGCATGCACTGACGCACAGCTTAGAGCCCACCAGCCGCCCATTACCTCTACCCTCTACCTGCTTGCCACCCGCCTCCCTGACCGCCTTGCTGTCGCCCGCGACCGCTTCCTTAGTGTTCACCCCGCAGACCTCACCCTCACTGACTTTGTCGACACCCTGACTGTGATAGAGACCCGTCACCGCTCCATCGCCCAGGCGAGCGGTGTCGTGCCGGTCCCTATCTTTCAGGGTTGTGCCCCCGCTCAGTGTACCTTCTCCGACGGCTCTGCCGCAGTGGCTGACACTGCTGCTGCAGCGCAGGCCCGTTCTGGGAAGGGCCGCCGCCCCAAGGCTGGGCGCGGCGGAGGGGGCGGCGGGGGTGCGGCCGGGGGTAGTGGTGGGGTCGGGTCGCCTGGTGCTAGAGCGAACGAGGGGACCCTGCCCAGTCCAGCTGAGTCGCCGCCCCTGCAGTTGCAGCAGCCGCAGCAGCCGCCGCAGTCGCAGCCTTCGCAGCAGCCGCAGCAGCCGTCGCAGACGCGGCAGACGAGTGTTCTCCCGCCAGGGTGGCCCGGCGCTGGCGGTGGACGGGCGCGTGGTGGTGTGCCGCGTGGTGGCTCTGCCGGCGGGCGTTGTCAGTACGAGATCCAGACCGGTCCTCGCCGCGGTTTCGTTTGCGGTAAGATCGGTCACTCCACTCCCCGCTGCTTTCGTCGCCTGGACGACCTCTTTCGTCAGCGTTTCGGCCCGTCGCCAGACCTCCCGGACTGGCACAGTTTGCTTAGTCGTCAGATTCAGATCTTTGATATGGACATGGATGCCATTGTTTCTGCTCTGCATGTGATGTATGCTGATGACTCTAGTGTGCTTCCGACTTATTACTCACTGTTGCCTAGTGTAGGTGTGCCTAGCTTAGCCTCCCCTGCTGTGTCAGGCGTAGGATCCCCTGCTTTGTGTAGTCTTGGTGCTTCTGCCGTCGTTCCGTCGCCAGACCCCTCGGCTTCGCTTTCCTTCACCTTGGACTCTGGCGCCTCTCGGTGTTTCTTCCGCGACTCCACCACCCTGACGCCGCTTCCTGTTCCTGCTGCCGTTTCTCTTGCTGACCCCTCCGGCGGCCCGGTAGTCGCCCGCAGTTCCACCACCCTTCCCTGTCCGGCGGTTCCTTCGGGCTCTCTTACAGGTCTGCATATCCCCTCGTTCTCCAGGAACCTAGTTGGTGTCGGCTGCCTCCAGGACCTTGGCGTCACCACTACGTTCCCTGGTCACGAGCGGTATGCTGTCTGTACCGAGGCCGCCACTGGTGCCCCCCTGTCCACGTTCCCCCGGGACCCGGTGTCCGGCCTGTTCACTCTGGACACCGTGCCCCCCCCGGCTGGAGCGCCCCCTCAGGTGGCTGTGTCTACCCAGGTTGCTGCTGCCTGCTCCTGTCGCTCCCTCACTCACCCGACCCTCCTGTGGCACCACCGCCTAGGTCACCCTGCGCTCCCGCGTCTGCGTCACATGTCCCAGCACGGTCTTGTCCTTGGTCTCCCAGGTTCACTCCCCGCATTTCCCTCCTCCCCAGCTCCACCTTGCACGCCCTGTGTCGAGGGTCGGCTTCGCCGTGCCCCTCACTCCTCCTCGTTCCCCCCTACCGCCGCGCCGCTGCAGACCCTGCACCTGGACGTCTGGGGCCCCGCCCCCGTCCCTGGGCCGCGTCGCGAGCGCTACTTCCTTGTGCTTGTCGACGACTTCACTCGTTACACCACAGTCTTTCCCCTGGAGCGCAAGGCCGACGTGCCTGGCGCCCTCATCCCCTGGCTTGTCTCTGCGCGTGTCCACCGCGGTCTCCCTGTCTTGCGTCTTCACTCAGACCGTGGTGGCGAGTTTGCCTCAGGTGTCCTTGGTCGCTTTTGTCGTGCGGAGGGCATCACCCAGACGTTCACCCTACCGGACTCCCCACAGCAGAATGGGGTCGCTGAGCGACGCATCGGCTTGGTCATGGAGGTCGCTCGCACCTCCATGGTCCATGCCGGTGCACCCCATTTTCTGTGGCCGTTCGCTGTGCGCTACGCTTCTCACCAGCTTAACCTGTGGCCGCACCCTCAGCAGCCGCAGGTTTCGCCGACCCGTCTGTGGACTGGGTCTCCTGGTGACGCGTCTGCGTTCCACGTCTGGGGCTGCCTTGCTCACGTCCGTGCCTCCGGCACGGACAAGCTCACTGCCCGCACCCTTCCCTGCGTCTTCCTCGGTTTTCCCCTTGACGCGTCCGACTGGCACTTTTACCACCCGCCGTCTCACCGCTTCTTTCACTCTCGTGACGTCACCTTTGACGAGTCCGTCTCCTACTACCGCCGCTTCCCCCACCGTGGTCCCCCGGTTACCCCCCCCCTGTTCCTGGTCACCCCTTCCCCGGTAGTCCCTGCCCCTCCTCCTCCTCCTCCCCGTCCCGCCCCCTCTGGTGTCTCCCATGTCACCCCCCTTCCGTCCGTGGACCCGGTTGAGGAGTCTTCTGACTCTGGTGGCCCTCCGGTGCAGTCCTCGCCGGCCGCCCCTCCCCAGGTGTCCCCTCCCCAGTCCCCTCCTCCGCCGTCCCTGCCGCCACTGCAGCCGTCGCCGTCGCCGCCGCCGCCGCCGCCGCCGCAGTCGCAACCCCCGTTCGCTGACTCTGGGGGTGCTCGTCCCGGTCGCCCTGAGGGTGGTCCCTCTGG